TTTTATCTCTGAACATTCCTGCATCAACACAGGAGTTCTGGGGGGACACCTCATATACAAACAATAACATTAATCATTCAGTATATTCTCTAATCAGTGTAATTAATTTAGAAATCAAAAACAAAAGGTAACCATAGAATCATGAAATGATTAAAAATTAAGCAATAAACCTCTAAATAATCCAAGAGTCAAAAAGAAAACCACAATGAAAACAAGAATATATTTTAAACTAAAGAAAAAAATGCATATTAATTCCTGCAATGTGGCAAGCAAAGGTTCTCCTAAAGGATATCCTTAAATATATACATAGTCCTCAACTTACAATGGTTTAACTTGAGTTTTTTTGACTAGAGGATATTGTTAAAGTGATAGGCATTCAGGAGAAATCACACTTCAAATTTTGATCTTTTCCTGGGCTAGCAATATATATATAGGGTACTCTAATGAGCCTGGGCAGCAGCAGAGTCACAGCTCCCAGCCAGACACATGACCACAAAGATAAGTCACAAATATGGTAAAAGGCACTGAACTACTAAGCTATGATGGTTAAAAAGTTAGGTGTAATGAGCTGTTAGTCAATTTTCTGTCACTATGACAAAATACCTAACATAATCAACTTAAAAGGAGGAAAGACTGATTTTGGCATACAGTTTCAGAGGTTTCGGCCATGGTCACTTGGCCCTGTAGCTTTGGGCCTGTGGAGACACAATACATCATGGGAGGAGCATATGGAAGAAGAGGTCTATTCACCTCATGGCAAAGAAAGCAAAAGAGGAAGGAGCCAGAGACCCAATATTTCCCTCAAGGGCATGCTCCCAGTGATCTAACTTTTTCTCAATAGGCCCACCTCCCAATAGCACCATGGGCTGGGGACCAAGTCTCTAATACCTGGGCCTCTGGGGGACACTTCCAAACCACAGCATATTTTTCAACTTCTGACAGGTTAATAAAGATGTAACCCCACTGTAACTTAAAGAGCATGTGTGTTAAAAGCAAAACAGAATTTAAAAAATCAATAAGTATCCCTTTAAGAAACAATGGAAAAGAACAGCATATGAAACCTGAAAAAAATTAATAAAGATAGGAAAAGTAACTGATATAATAGAAAACAAACATATAATAAAGAAATTACATAAAATCAAAAGATGGTTTTTGAAAAGATTAATGAAAGTGATAAAATCTAGAAAAAAAAGATAGGGCACAGATCACCAATATTAGGAACCAGGAGGATATTTAAAATTTAATATGTAAAATACAGGTATCCTTTAGACATTAAAAATATAGGAATAATATATTAAAATAATTTTATACCAATATTGTTGAAAATTTAAACAAATTCCTAGAGAAACAAGCAACAGAAACTGACACAAGCAATAGAAAACTGAATACTTCTACATCTATTAATGAGACTAAGCCCATAATTAAAAACAATCCCACAAAGAGATCTGTAGAACCAAGTGGCTTTACCTATGAATTATCCAAACATTTAAAAAATAAATAATGCTACTCTTATAGAAAGATTAACATTACACGGCTTTCATTTCATTACATTTCTTACAATTCTTGTCTTCCAGAGAATAGAAAATTAAGTTCACTTCCCAACTCACTTTATTACGTCAGTATAACCTTGATACCAAAAACTGAGAAAAACATTATAAGAAAAGCAAATTCCAGGCTACCATCTCCAATAAACATAAACATTCAAAATATACGTCAGCAAACTAATTCAAGCAACATATTAAAGAGTAATGTAAATGACAAAATCCAGTTTATTTCTACAAGTAAAAGTTTGACTACTTTAAAATAAAATCAATGTAATTTGCCTCACTAACAGATTAGGAGAAAAATCACATAATCCTCTCAGTAAATGTAGCAAATACATTTGATAAAATATAATATTTATAATTTTTAAAAATCACTTAAAATATTAAAAGAGAAATTTTCATCTGATAAAAAGTCTCTATAAAAAGCTTATAACACACATCATAATTAATGGCAAAATATTCTAAGATCCAGAAGAAGCAAAGTTGCCTATCATCTGAAGTTTCTTGCTATTACAATAAGGCAGGAAAAAAGTATACAGACTGGAAAGTAAGAAATAGATTGCTGAATACCAAGTTAGCTATATAAATAAATGATAGTTCTATCTGTAAGCAATTTATTTTTAAAATGACACTATCTATCATAACATCACACATTTAACAATAAATCTAACCAAATATGTCTGAGTCCTACATACAAAAACTCTTCAAAACATTACTGAGAAAAATTTAAAAACATCTAAATAAATAGATAAATATATCATATTCATGGATGAGAAAATCAATATGGTAGACAACAGGGCACCACCTGTAAAAAATACATGAGGATCTTAGCATGTAGTCAGGGAGATTTCAGGTTTAACCTTAGGTACTATCCCTGGCTCTCCCATGCAATAGATTGCCCAAGGCACATGACCTTTATCTTTGTTCAGCTAGGAAAATCTCTCACAGTCTCTCTAGAGATGGGCACAACCCATTGGGAATTGGGCAGCTCACCTTCAACATTTTTTGGAGAAGAACATTCTATGGAAGGCCTTTGATGCCCCCCAATATAAATAAAGCAGACGTGGGCTCCATTTTGCCTTTTAGTCTAGAAGCTTGATCTGTCTGGTTAGCTTGCCCATCACACCCCAACTTTTTGAAAATATTTTCTGTGTCTTGAGGTTTTTGTCGTAGTTCTATTTTTCTTAGCTTTTATTTCTCAGGCAACCCATTCCACAGAGGGGAATCCCATTCCCATTGCCTGCACAGGACGCAGTCGTCCCCAAATTGATGTATAAATGCAATGCAATTCTAATAAAAATTCTAGGCATGCTTTGTAAACAGTTGTATAATTTAAAGCTGATTCTAAAATTCAAATGAAAATGCAAAGGTCCAAGAATAGCCGAATCCATCTTGCAAAACACTGGAGGACAAAAGCTATCAGATGTCAACATTTATTACAAAAACATAGTAATGATGTGGTATGGGAGAGAATAAGGAGTCCAGAAGATAGACCCCCAGATATACCACCACCTTTAAAACAAAAAGATACTGAAGTGTGGTGAAGAAAAGATGACTCATCAATAAATGGTGCCAACTCTACTAGCTATCCATATAGAAAAAAATTATCTTAGCCTCTTATATGGTATGAAAAAGATAATAAAGAAGTTTCTTGGAAATTAAGCAGGCACAATTTATTGAGATCAACAAGGTTTCTTATCAAGAACAAAGAACACACAATATAAAGGGAAAATCTGACAGACCGTACTACATTAAAATTAGAAAGGTCTTGATATAGCATATCTATCACTCCTTATTTAGGAATCTCAATGTATGCAGTCTGAAAATTCACTTAATTTTACTTACTTAATATTCAAATAATGATTTCTGGTTTGTAAATGAGTAATATCTTGATTTATAAAATTAAACTATAAAACTCATTATGAGAGGTTCAAGTAATAGTAATTTCAATAATAATAACTACTGGAAACTTAACAAAGGATCAAATAAAACTTGAACTTAATATGTGAAGTGGCATTGTTTACACTCATTTTTATTAAAACTACACTTTTACTTCTAATGTTAAATTCAGGAACTCAGTTACTACAGGTGATTAAAATAGTAGTCAAGCAAGAAGTATCCATTCAGGAGAGAAACAAAACCAATTTAAGTAAAAGTAAAGGAAAAAAAAGTCACCTGCTACAACAAAAACACACTGAATGCCTATTCCTTTATACATCTATTTACGTGTATGTAAAAATGTAAAAACATTTTGCTCAATCAGAATCATAGCTACAATAGGATTAGCCTTTCTCTAGGTGGGGTAACAGCTATACATCATCTTATTTACTCAAAGAGCCTCCTTAGATCAGAAACGCAAGGACAGGAGGAAACTAAAGACTGCATTAGCTTTCTAGGGAGAGCAAGTTTTGTTTTGTTTTGTTTTGTTTTGAGGTTTTTTTTGGGGTTGACTGGTTATTTTTGTTGTTGTTGTTGTTTCTTTGGTACTAGGAATTGAACTCACGGGCACTTAACCTCTGAGTCACATCCCCAGCCCTTTATTATATTTTATTTAGAGACATAATCTCCCTGAGTTGCTTAGGGCCTTGGTAAGTTGCTGAGACTGACCTCCTTCTCCTGCCTCAGCCTCTCAAGGCACTGGGATTAATGGCATGTGCCACCATTCCTGGCTATAGAGAAAGGAGATCAAGACATTACTTATCCCTACGTTTAAAATTTTCAATTTACATAATTCATGTCTGTAATCAAATAATAAAACATGCAAAAAATTATTTCCAATAAAAGATTAAGACTTTTTTATATAACCCTATAATTACAGCACTATAATCTTACATATTCTGTTAAAGACATAACAAAACCTCATATATAGGAGGGGGTTAAGTGAACATCTTTAGTTTGCATTCTTGCAAAGGTGACAATCTTCAAATTCTACAGATTAATGAAAATTACATAAGGGGACTATGGTTTGGATAAGGTCTGAATGACGCCCAAGAGTCCATTACCATTAAATGCTTGGACCCCAGGTGGCACTACTGGGAGGTAGTGGAACATTTAGAAGGTGGGAACAAGTTGGAGATCCCTAGGTCACTGGGGGTGTGTCCTTGAATGAGATTGTGGGACCTCACCTGTCCTCTCTTTCTCTCTACTTCCATTATAGATATTACCACTTTGCTTCTATGCACGCTTCTGACATGACATGTCACCATCTTCTACCCACACCAGAACTCAGTCAATGCAGGCATTATGTTTTTGAACCTCCAAAATTACGAACTACATAAACCTCTTCTCACTTGAAATTAGCTGACTCTGGTATTTTGTTGTAGTAATGGGAAGCTGATAAATATTTAGGATTAATATATTTTAATTCTTAATCTCTGCCCATGCCAAACATTAAGACAACACACATTTATCTTTTACTATGTGAAGAACACTACTTTCAACTAATAATCACTTTACCTTTGCAGCAAACTGTAGTCCAATTTGATCAGCTTCAGCTTCCAGTGCTCTACTGTACGGTCTATCAAACATATACTAAAAAGAAATATGATAGAAAAATTCCATTAAGGTAATTTGTTTTTTGACAAAAGGAATAACAAAATGAAATTTTTAAAAATCAATTTCAGAGAGTATCTAGGATAAAATTTCTATACTTCCTACATCTTTAAAGAATACCATGGTATAAAACATAAAAGGAACCTTCATTTCTTCCATCAGATTAATACTTTAAAAACAAGGAAAAATAGAAAAAAACATGCCTACAAATTTCTGGACAGTCAATTGTATCATTATATCTGTTTTCCAATTATAATCTCCACTGAGTAGAGGGATCTCTAAGAAAGCTTATTAATGCAAGCTCTTAATATGACCAAAGAACATTTTGATATTACAGTTTAAAATGAAATTAAAAAAATATAAGTCCATAATAACCAGTGATACTATTAGAAGATTTATTTCAGTAAGAAAATTAACAATATAGCAGAACTTTGTTTCTTTGATAAATTATCTTAATTTCCCTTTCCTTTCTAAGTATTAATTTGTTAGGAAAATGAAATTTTCTTCTGACTTCAATTTTTTAAGAATAGATATTATAACTTTTATTTTCCTAATTACTTGTATTTATGAGAATGCTTTTCAGTTAAATTCTAATTTTCAGTAAATACTAAAACTTTGTAAAGGACAGATCAATAGGCATTTTTTCTTTGAGAAAAGAGCTATTAATTGGGGAAACGATTTTTCAAACGTAGCAACATGTTTGTGACGACTAAAAATAATCAATCTGAAAACAGTATGTGATCATTAGAAGTGAATTTTTTTCTTCTCAATCGTATCTGGTTTAGATTGGTAAACGACATCACAGTCTCTTCACTCTCATGAGCAGTCTTCATGTGTCCCATTGAGTCTACTCATAATATACCAATTTAAAACATTGGCTTTAAAAGGAGAACCAGTAGTATCATATATAAAATGGAACTAATACCAGCAAGCACCAAATTCCTAGATTTACAAAGAGAATTAAATGAAGCAATAATAAAATCAATAGTTCATATTTACCGTGTCCTTACTTTATGACAAGGACTGTGCTAAATGCTTTAAATTAGTATTCTCAATCTGGTATGATTCTGTCCCCCAGGGACATTTGTTAAGTACAGACTTTTTGACTGTCACAACTAGGAAAAGACCCTGATAACTACAAGGCACAGGAAAACTCCCCACAATAAACAAGTATAGTTCTGAGATTGAGAAATCCTGTCATTAAATGTAGTTTTCAATAGCCACAGCAAATGAATGTAGGCAATTCCCACTCCCTAACAATTTTACTATCAGCATTCCTTTCTCCTTCCCAGTCACAGTGAGCAGGGCTTTATAGAGAGAAAAATATGTGTCACCAAAAGTTTTGAGGGGAAAAGAATTCAAACAAAAGTAATCTCTATTCTATTTTCAATTTAATTATTGAATTAAAGAATTACCATAAAAAGGCAGGCTTCGTCAAGAATTTCAAGAAACAGATACAAGATATCTTTATTATAACCAAATCTGATTCCACCACAGAAAAAGTAATCTATAGATGGATGGGTTGGGGAAGACCATATGAACTCCTCTGACATTCCAGCAGGTCAGTGACAGAAACAAAGGTCCAAAATGTGAGATCCTATAATATAAGCAATAACCATTCCTTCTTTTTTTTCCCTTTGAGAACCTTTACTTCAATATAAATGAAGCCAAGTGATAGGAGAACTCTAAATAAAAGCCTTAGTTATTGAATCTCAAAAGCAATTTGTCTCAGAGAATTCTGAACATTAGATTTGAACAACACCCAGATGGCACTCTGATGGGTGCTCCACAACATTAAATAAACAAATGACAGATTGTGCCTAAATAACCAAACTCCCAGGACAAGAAGAAATAAAGAAAAATGTAAAATAGTTAATCATGGTTAACAAAGTACTTATGAAGATTACAAGACCTACTTTCAGTAATGCAGCGTTTTAAACAAAATGAAAGACTTAATACATTTTTGAGATTATCATTACACATAAACACTAAGAACCAAAGTTAACAAATACCTAGTAAGACTGTCCTTTCAATATTTTTGAGGCAATGTAAGTTTAAATGGGAGTGAGCAGGAGAGGGTGATAAAGCAGCTTAGTAACCCTATCATCATTAGAGATTTCTTTGAAGAGTTTTCCCCAAAAATGAAAATATCTGGGGGACAAGGGAGTCAGTACACTAGAGTAACAGAATGAAAGAAAGGGTTCATGACTATGCTTTCTCTCTGTAAAACCAACAACTATGTGAAAAAAAGATATTAGCTAAAAATTACCTAACCCTTTTAAACCATCCATACGCATCACTTATTTGAGAGGTGTAGCATTCCTGAAATTCTCATATAAGAATATTCCCTAAAACAAGTAAACATAAGGCACTAAAATTCAATACCCATGTTAAATTAAATATTAAATAAAATAAATATTAAATATTAAATATTAAATTTCCACCCTAAAAGTGGAAACATCTCTGGTATTTGTTGCTTCACAATAGTATTAAAATATCCGCAAGTAACCCTTATAAATTCAAGTTATTATCTCAGACTTACCTCCTGCAGTTTAGACTGTATCCACTGGCCCAAAATTGCCAAACTATCTCGTGGACAAATGGCCCAAATCATTGTGAGAAAAATCATACCAAGGAAATCCAGTAAATGAACCAAGCTAGCCTTTTCCGCCTGAGAACAATAAAAAAAAGTGAAAAATTACATTCAATAAATTGAGACAGTGTGTTTATATTCTCTAGTTATCATGTGTAATCACATTAAATAACTGCATGTGTTTAAGTGGTCCTCAACAAATAAAACCCTTACTTCTCTTTCTTCTGTGTGCATATCATTCCCAGTCTCTTTTTCCTGTCCCTTACTTACATAGTCATGCACTTACTGCACTGCTTACTATCAAGTCAGACAATGACAGGTTTATTAATCTACAGTTTCTTATATTAACAGCACAATACTGTGAAATAGGTTAAATTACTCCTATTTTACAGATAATGAAACTGAGATGGAGAAGGCCCTTAAAAATACTACCCAAATTCATATCATTATTAGTGAAAGGACCAGGAATCAGACAGACCCAGTAAGTTTTAGTTTCTAATACAATCATAAATCTTTTTAAACATAAAATAAATGTGTTTATTGTACTTACATTTTTGGATAAAGACTAAACACTACCTAACATATGAAGCAGTTAAAGTAAGAAATAATTCAGAAAAAGACTGGAAGTTTATTTTAAATAAAAGTCTTTTGGTCTTTATGATCTAATTTAGGAAAGTATGATTGATTTATACAAGTTGTCAATTTTGTGATTTTAGTATCCCTCACCAGAGAATTAGGTTGAGTTTTTGTATTTACCTATAAAAGTAACCAAATAAGGTTATACATAATATAGTTGTTTTGAATAGTAACGTCTAATATAAGTTTAATACACTGGATTGTTTCTTGTTTGCTACTGATGTTGATTAGTAAATGTTAATGGAATGCTGAGAATGATAACATAGCAGTTATTAACTTGAACATATGAAACATGCCTGAAACTAAAAGCAATGACTTGGACTATATTCTTCAAAAATATCATCTTTCATCACAAACACACTTTGCTTCATTATAAGAACTGTGCCCTATGAAAAACAAGTACAGGATTATTTTAACATGAAAGAGTGAAACTTAAAATAATGAAGCCATTATGGAGCAGAAAGTCCTTGCTATTAATTACTAAAGAATATGATTACCACTACACAGTCTTAGAAAACTAGAAATAAAAAAATTTGTGTATTTGTAAAACAAAGAAAACATCAAAAAAAAGTTAGATTTAATTAAAATTAGACTCCCAAAAGAGAAAAATGTGTTCATATAATAAAGACCTCTGCAATAGAAGTATTAATAACTGTTTTCTATGAAGGGTACTATTTGCATTTTATGTCTCATCTAATTACTGTTCTTGCACTGACAAAGATAACAACAATATAATGAGAATGAGGCATTGAACTAGATTCCAGAAAAATATAATGAATAGTAAAACCTTTTAAATGTTAAAGTGGCCAGATTGATTTATTTTTGTGATTATGACAACATTAATTGGAAGACAGAGTGCATATAATGACACTAACAATTGCTTAGACTTATTTTTGTACATATTTAAGAAAAACAATTTTTAAATTTTCCTTTAACTTTGAGGAAATAAGGGAGAAAAGTACTATTTGCACTTCAGAATAAGTACAACTTTGACCTATCTTATTTTCTTATTACTCTAGGAATAGGCAGAATTTAAGAAGACTTTTAGAAGGAACATAAACATTATTGTTTCCATTTGAGGTTAACATTACTTACACTTCTGATTTAGTATTTCATAATCCCTTCACTATTTGCTTTCAGGTTTTCAATTAAAGAAAATATACTTCTCTCTAATTATGTGGACAAAAGAGCCATTCATATTTTTTAATGAGTGGCAATTTAAAAAGGAGTAAAACAAGTATATGTTATTTTCCTGGACTCATACCAAGTCAAATAGATGTGTAATCAAAAGACCATAAATCAACCTGAATTCTATAATGTATTTTAAAAACTGCTGCCAACAAACAGGTAATTGTGGTAAAAGGAAGAAATGCTGGACTTGAAAGCAGAAGACCTATTTTAAATTCCCAAGTCAGTCACTTTGTCATGTTGTGTTATTTAGAGTCTTTTTAAATACCAGTCCTCATATATAAAATAGGCATAATAAATATATACTTCATGAGGTATTAAAGTTATGAATGAAAAGATACATATTAAAAACCTTGGTAAACTGTAAGATGACAAGGTATCATTATTACTTTGCATTAATTATATATGGCCTATCATTCTAGATATTTTCAGAGATGCTCTAAGCTATCCTCTGAGAATGAACAAAAAGAAAACTAGTTTTCACACTTCAATAGTAATATCATTTTATATAATTAATTTTCTGACTAGATTATATATATGTTGATAACTATGGAAAGTTTAAAATCTAATTTGAAATAATTAGTGGTTGAAAATAATTACTTTTTTAGCAAAAGAGACAGGTAATAAAAATAGTATTTAAAAGAAACACTAATGATTCAGTATCAAGTATAAAGATCATAAAAAAATCTGAAAATTAGCCAATCACATTTTTTTTAGGTAACAGAATAAGGAAATTACTAAACACTAAAATTCCATCATTATAAACAGAAAACTGAAAAGACTCAGTTCTTGGAAGAGATGTAACCTGCTACTTTTGCAGCAATATTCTGACAACTGAATATTCACTTCAGGTACTTACAGCATGCCCAAGTACTGCATGTGCTATTTCATGACCCAGAAGGAAGGAAAGTTGATGCGTATCAGTTACACTATTTAAGAGCCCAGTGAAAATAAAAACTTGTCCATTCTGCACCATAAAGAAAATAATACAAGCAATTAGAACAACATAAAATATAAGGACATTAAATTTAGCAATAAAAATGTGTTTGAAAACATTTACTTACTGGAAGTACAAAGGCATTTATATCTGGAGAATCAACAACATGAATAACCCAATTGAGCTCAGAGATTCCTGGGATATCTTTATTACATTCAATTAGATGATATACCACTTCTTTAACAGTCAGATATCGAGGGTCTTTCTCAGTTAGCATATCATTCTTAAATTCTTCCATCCACTAAAAAATTAAAATGAAAATATTCTTTATTGGGAGGGGAGGGGGGATAGTAGGGGATAGGAAAGGCAGCAAAATACAACAGTCACTAATATGGCATTACGTAAAAATTGTGAAATGTGTAACTGATGTGATTCTGCAATTTGTATTTGGGGTAAAAATGGGAATTCATAACTCACTTGAATCAAATGTATGAAAGATGATATGTCATGAGCTTTATAATGTTTTGAACAACCAATAAAAAAATTAAAAAATAAAATAAAATAAAGAAAATATTCTTTATTGTAAAAGAATTTTACAAAACATTTATATTGCTTCATAAAGAGTTACATGACTACTTAGTGTTGAACATTTTAAGTTTTAATTACGTAAAAGTTTGTATATATTAAACACTCAAATCTCTCAAATTTGAATTATTCATGCAAAGGCAAAGTGGTTTCTCACAATGGAACAAATTCTAATATGAATATTTTTCACATAAATGTGTTGAAATCAAAATTTCATTATATTAACCTATATGCTAGTAAAGTGCTTAAATTTTATTTCTACTTTCTAAGTATTTTAGAAAGCAAAACACTGCCTAGAAAACAAAGATTTCACATAAAAAAGCAAGACATAAGAGTTACTTTTATAACTTACTAGAAAAACACCCCACACACCAATACTAATATGAAGAACAAAATTTTAAAAAGACGTTTTATTCATTTTAAAGTGATTTATTCACACAGATTGAAAGGGAATTACTAAAATATCAGAACTAATGGTTACATAATTTTCTCCATATGATGCTGATCAAAACTAGCCACCTCGTGTTTCAAGAACTTTTTCTGAAGCTATATTCATGTGAGATCCTTTCAAGTATACTGAGATAACTAAGGATGTTCTGAATATATACTTTAACTTCCAAGTTGTCGTTCACAAATGAATCAACAAGTGAGCAACCTTCTTTTTCAGCTTCACTAAAAACACATATTTTGTAGAATCCATATTCTAAAGACTATTAAAATAGTCTTTATATCAACTAACATTTTTAAAGCATAATACATCAATGTAAACTGACTGAAACAAACAAAAAAACCTACTATGAACCTATCTGAAGGAGTTCCAATTATATGTAATTATAATACTTTATCTCTAAAAGAACATTTGCTTTAATTTTATCACAGAGGTATTATATCTGTAGATTAAACAATAAAAAAAGACAAGTGTATCTATGGCTATATGTATATGTATATACACATGTAGAAGTACATATATATAATTTTTAAAAATTTCTTAGCAATATGAATGGTACAAGATGCACTAATAGAAAGCCCATCTTAATCTTTCCAGAATACTTTCCTCAAAATTGTCTCCTACTAGGCTAAATTCTAAAAAATATCTCACATCTCTGTATATACTCTTATAAGAGATTAGTCTTAAGAACAATTTTTACAGAGACAAGTCATTATTATTTTTTATTTTAATGGTAACTTTTCTTTGATAAATTCAGCAGCTTATTTGCAATTAAAAAAAAAAAAAAGACCTAATCATATCAAAGTTTGGTCAAGTGAGGTTAAAAGACATCAATTCAGCCAACATGACCTAAGCACATATCATGGTATGCCCTAGGCATTAGAGACAGAATGTTGCTATCCCCAAGTAGCTCACTAGGGTACAAAATGTCTAACTACCTGAGTTATTATACTTTCCAAGGAGTTAAGAATTAGAATTCCCACCCACCCACTCCTTTTTTTTTTTTTGCATTCAGGAAATACAATTGCCAAAGCTAATGTTTAGAAAAAATGTATATTTTATTTTACTTGACTTTCAATTAAAACATCACTACATATGTGTTCACTCAATAAATTCACACTAAACACACTTCATGTACATGCTAGTCTTTAAGATAAAACACCAAACAAAACAGACAAGGTCCTTGGCCCCATGGAGCTTAGTTCAATAAGGGAGACAAACTAACAAGTAAATAATTATACAAATAATGAAGTTACCCTCCTGTATGTTCTTTGAGGGAAAAATACAATAAGATAAAAGAAGACAAAAGTAAGAGACCTAACCCCACTATCACCGAGCACCAGCCACAACTACAAATGAGCAGGTTCATAGTTCAATGTGAATGAAGGATAACCCCTAGAGCCTGATCTAGTCACCCTGCCTATCCCAGTCTGAATAATCAAGACAGGCTTTCCTGAGAAAGTAAAGATAACACATGCTGAACAGGAGTTATTGGGTGAATGGGAAACAAAGCAATGAAGACAGTGGGAATACTACATGTGAAAGTTCTCAGGACTTTTGAAAAAAAAAAAAAAAAAAGATGTTAATTTCATTCCAACAACTAAAAGATGTTTATTTCATTCCAACAACTAAAAAGCAGTGCATCTTTCATATATGTGTAACTTTCCTGCTTTGAGTGTTATCGTAAACAATCTAAAGAAAAACAGTTCTTACTACTTACTGCTTCATATTCCAGTTCTGACAGAAGTTTGAAATGCTCTTTCCCCAATAATAATAGCTTGCTTCTTCCTGTGATTGGGCTCACTTCCAGGTGAGTAAAATAAAACACTACAAATAGCAGTCCAAAGCCAGTGAAACCAAGGAATAACTTCCATTTATTCCTCCTGACACTCTCTTTAAATAGTTCCTTCTTGTTAGGAGGAAGTGCCTGCCACCATTTCCTTATGCCCCTAGAGCAAAGAGAAAAGTTCAAAGTTCTGATAACTGTACTAGCATATATCATCAAAATGCAAATGCATGTGCTAGAATTTTATGTCATTAAACATTTGAATCTCTATGATATTTTTCTCAGTATAGTTGGATTTTTTAACGTATTAGCTAAAAGATCAAAGAGTAATCAACTATATAGAGAGATAGCTAAAAATTCTAATGCTCATTTGAATTTGTTCTTCAGCTATTTTAAGGACAAATAGTAAATGAGGAGTTATTTGATTATTTTACTGCAACTACCTAATTAACATTTATTGACTATTTGCCACACAAAAAGCACTCTTTTTAATCATTACACAGATGTCATCTCATTTAATCTTCCTAACAACCATGTTACAGAAAATTGAGACACAGAGAAATTAAGCAATTTGTGCAAGTTCAGAGAGTAATAAGAGGAAAGCCAGGCAATGAAGGCAATGACATTCCAGAGTCTGACCATTTAACCACTTAATAGGGATAAATTGCCCAAATAAACATATAAGGAGCTACTATACAACAAATCTATACCTTTAACCACTATTCTTCCCACTGCTTCTCAGATTTCTGGCCAGTGCTTCAGCAAGGTATAAGGAAAACTACCTCAGCATTGATTTTGGAAATAAATATTGTTCAGAAGCAGAAACTCCTTTATCCCCTCTAGAACATGAGAAAGGAGAGGTAAAAAGAAGATCAGAAGCACTGTAAATAAGCAAATGGGAGATTTTCTAGATAACATCTGAGAAGGTCCAATTTCTATTGCTCAGCAGAATTCATAAACATTTTGACAACAAGTAATGTTTTCAATAATGGATAAAAAGTTTTCCGTATAAGTTCACCAGTAAAATCAAAATAAAAATTTAATATGTATACATCATTTTCAACAAAAATTTACTTTAAAAAATCTTAAGAGTTATCATAATTTTGTTAAGTTACTAATATGGCTTACAAATTATCCCCAAAGGTCCAAGTGTTAAAAGGTTTGTTACAGCCTATGGCACCACTGGGACTGTGAGATGGTGGAACTTTTTGAGAGGTAGGAGTCTAGTGAGAGGAAGTTAGGCATGAAGTGCATGCCCTTGAAGGGAATATTGGGACCCTAGCCCTTTCCTAGTTCCCTCTTTTTGCTTCCAGGCTTCTGCCATGATGCATTGAACCTCCACAAGACAAAAGTAACAAGGCCAAAAGACAACTGCCTGAAACCTATGAAATCATGAGCAAAATAAGCCTTTGATTATTTCACGTATTTTGTCATAATGGAAAGCTGCCTAACACAATAACATATATGAAATGCCTTAGACAAATGCCTTAGACAAAGAGTCTTAACCGGAAGAGACATAAATCAAACTACAAATAAGTAAATCAAACACAAATTTTAAATTTCCTATTTAAAATTTACATGACATTATTACTTAATTAAAATGTATATAGAACACATTTTAAAAGACAATTTTAAGTAACTGATAGTTGTAACAAAAACAAAATCATTAAAAATAAAAAATTTTCACATGAGAAGTTAGAAAGCTATTATCCCAAGAAACTGGGAAGAGTTTGTTACTTAACCTATGATCCAATATAACTAGTTATTTTCTGAGTGCAAACACCAAATCATAAAGAACACAATAACCTACAGAGAACTTTTTTATTTTTATTAAAAGCAAATTGGGTTGTTGGTAAGGAAGAAAGAAAACTAGAAGAGACATTGTAGTTACCAAATTTAAGAAAGCTTAATGAGGAGATGAGCTTTCTTCAATTTCAATGAAATAAGAAAAAACAGGGTTTAAAAAAATATACTATTTAAGCACTTTTTGTAATCCCAAGTACATGGGAGGTGAAGCAGAAATATTGCAAAATCAAAGCCAACCTGAGAAACTTAGCAAGATACTGTCTCAAGCTAAAAATAAAAAGAGGTTGGGATATAAATCAGTGGTTGAGTGCTCTGGGTTCAATTCCCAGAACTGCAAAAAGAATTTATTTATATGAAGCAAAAATGGTAATTTTTATAAAGGACTACTAAGAGAAATATTTTAGAATCAGAACAATTACATATTAATGGTTTAAAAGTTAACTTGACTAGGTATGAGCACTTTCTTATATAAGAAAAGAACCAACCTAAATGCCCTTTAGTAGATGAGTGTATTAAAAAATGTGGTATATATACACAATGGAATATTACTCAGCAATAAAAGAGAATAAAATCATGGCATTTGCAGGTAAATGGATGCAGCTGGAGAAGATAATGCTAAGTGAAGTTATCCAATCCCATAAAAACAAAGGGCGAATGATTTCTCTGATATAAGATGACTGACTCATAGTTGGGTAGGGAGAGGGAGCATGGGAGGAATTGACAAACTCTAGATAGGGCAGAGGGGTGAAAGGGGAAGGAAGGGGGCAGGGAGTTAGCAATGATGGAGGAATATGATGGACATCAATATCCAAAGTACATGTATGAAGACATGATTTGGTGTGAACATAGTTTATATACAGAGATATGAAAAACTGTTCTACATGTGTAATAAGAATTATAATGCATTCCACTGTCATGTATTTAAAAAAATAAAACCAATTAAAAAAAAAAGAAAAGCTCTTCAGTTTCATGATTCACTGGCTCAAATTCCACAAAATAAAAAGGCAATGTTAAGTACTATAGCATGAGCTATAGTCAATACTTCTGATTCTTCTTATAAAGTCTTTTTAAAAGGTACACTTATTTCCTATTTAAAATTTACATGACAAAATGGGCTGGGACTATAGCTCAGTGGTAGAGCACCTGCCTCGCACATGTGAGGCACTAGGTTCAATCCTCAGTACCACATAGAAATAAATAAAGATATTGGGTCCACTCATACATTGCTGGTGGGACTGCAAACTGGTACAGCCAATATAGAAAACAGTAGGGGGAATCCTTGGGAAACTGGGAATGGAACCATCATTTGACCCAGCTATCCCACTCCTCAGTCCATACCCAATGGACTTAAAAACAGCATACTACAGGGACACAGCCACATCAATGTTTATAGCAGCTCAATTAACAATAGCTAAACTGTGGAACCAAACTAGATGCCCTTCAGTAGATGAGTGGATAAAGAAAATGTGGTATATATACACAATGGAATATTATTCAGCATTAAAAGAGAATAAAATCATGGCATTTGCAGGTAAATGGATGAAGCTGGAGAATATAATGCTAAGTGAAATTAGACAATCCCAAAAAAACAAATGCTGAATGATTTCTCTGATTTAAGGATACTGATCCATAATATGCTTGGGGGGTGGGTGGAGATTAAATGAACTCTAGATAGGGCAAAGGGGAAAGGGGGAGGGAGGGAGCATAGGGGTAGGAAAGATGGTGGAATGCAGTGGTCATCATTACCCTAAGTACATGTAAAAAGACACAAAGAATGTGACTCTACTTTGTGTACAACCAGAGATATGAAAAATTGTGCTCTATGTGTGTAATATGAATTATAATGCATTCTGTTGTCATATATAACATATCAAAATTTAAAAAGAGATATTGTGTCCATCTACAACTAAAAATATATTTTAAACAAAAGGGGGTCTCATGAACACATAACTTTTTCAAGATCATATTTCTATACCATAAATTAATATGCAGCAAATTATTTTGAGAGCATTAAATTACACATAACAAAACTGGGTAGGACCTACTGTATAAAAACTCAATTTTGAGCTAAATATGGTATGAGGAAGACTAAACAAGGTTTCTTTAAAAGTACTGTTTTTCCATATTACACTTTAATTTTTAAGTTAATAGAAGTCGATACAAATGTGAACACTAAAATTAACAAAAGTTAGTACAAAAGTTACTTTGTTAATTACTTTACCTGCCCACAATAATTGCAAGTAGCTTCTGCACTGGTTTCAGAATGATCAAGAAGAGAGGAACTGGAGCAGTTTGAACCCGTGAAGAAGTGTGGAAGCTCCTGCCAACCCTGACAGAGGAACAGCTCAGCGGACACAAGGCTCCAAGAGCAGGATCAACTGCAACTTTTTTGGTAAGCACCCATCTTTTAAGCTCCCATCTTGGAAAAGAGTCATTCCATGCAGTACCTTTGTGAGTAACCATCCAAATTTCCTTACTTTTGGCACTTGAGATGTATCCTATTCTTTTGTTACTGAAAGTCCTACAGAAATGAAAGTTTCCAGGGAGAAAAGTTGACAGCTCACACTGACTGAATGATTTAAGACCCTGACACTTCTTTATCATTTGGAGATTTTGTACTTGACAACAGCCCACTAAAGTTACTGCTGGTGAATTCCATTTTCTCCAGTTGGTCAGTGAATTAAACTGGGAAAGAAAACAGTTTCTAGTAGCAGACTGCAGTCCATATATGAAGCTCATCTTTCTTGAGCTTGATTATCTGGAACACAAAAAAATAAAAGATAAGTATCTATGGAAAATATTTATTCACCAAACCAAGAACATAATATTTATGAAACAGGTATGATGTAGTTCTTTTGCCATATCTCAGCCTAAATTACCTTGGGCTTCTACTCATCACCCCCATGGCAATGCCTTTCACCAATACAAACTAGAAGGACATATATAACACTATTACTGTACAATATGTACTTTTAAAACTTGCATTTTTTCACTTCATTTTTAACCTTTTGTTGGGGAGAAGTCTACTTTTTATTTTAATAGCAAATTATTTGAGGAGTAAGAATAGACAGGATTAAAAAGACACTAGTAAAATTTTATCAGTTGGTAGTAACAGGAAAAGAAGGATGCAGTGGGATAGAAAAATTAATAAAATATATCTTTTAAAATACAAATGGTTTTTCTTTTAAATAAAATCCTAGGACTTTTGACTGGGATTAAAATAAAGTGGGACCAGATTTACTCTCCCACCTAAAAAAAAAAAAAATTATATATAACAACTGAGCATTTCAACACACTGAGCATTAGAAAATGAAAGGTAGAAAGATGGGAAACAAACAAGATGAGTCCTTTATTCACCCAGCTTACTATACTACCTGGTGAGTTTCCAGGTGACCATGCAGACAGGAAAATACGGGTGAAACTCAATGGTTGCCCTAAATTGAAGAGATGAAGCTGGGAGTGCCAGTAGGCCCAATTTACAACGCAGACAATAAGAAAAGACAGAGCTGCAGAAAGAGTGAGTTCTGGAGATCTACAGAGAAGCTCCCTCTCACATTCAGCTGAGTCCTATAGGCACATGTATGTAAAACAAAACAAAAACCACTAAAGTTTGCAAAGAACTACCTGAAAAGAATAGAGGGCACAATATATATACAAGGCTACACAGCATTGGGCACAGTGTCTGTTTCCACCCACTGAAGCAGAAAAACTTACAATTCATGGTAACTGGGTAGAGTGCCCAGAAGGGTTTGGCTTCAGTCTTACAGAACAATTAGTCCAACACTGTTCTGATCCTAACCAACAGACAACAAGACATACCTAAAAGGTCAGACTGTTTCCATATAACAGCTACATGCCAGTAGAGGACAAAACCTCAAGAACAGATGTAAGAATAAAAAAAAAAAAGTCTAGTACTTAACACGGTATAATTTAAAATTAAAAATTACTAGGCTCTCAAGAAGCAGGAAATATGATCTATAATTAGGAGAAATATCAATCAATGGAAATGAAGTCACTCCTAAATAATACAAATGACAGCATTAGTAGAGAAGGATATTCATGGAGTTATTATAACTATATTTTACATGTTTAAGAAGTTAAAGGAAAATTTAAGCATGTTCTGTAGAGACATGGAATGTATTTTTTAAAGGGCCTACATTTAAATTCTGAAGAAGAAAACTATAATGTCTAAGATGAAAGACATAAAGGATTAAACACCTTATTAGACATTGTGGAAATAAAGACTTGTGAACCTGAAGAAATATAAGAGAGAAAACAGACTTAAAAAAACTGCATAGGGCATCAATGAGGTATGGAACTTCAACAGCCTAATATGCTTACAGCTAGAATCCTCTCAAGCAGGGGAAGGGAGGTAGATGAGAAGTTCTTGAAGAAATAATGGCCAAAAATTGCTTAAACCTGATAAAAACCATAAACCCACAATTCTAAAAAGTTTAATGAACCAAAGGAAACAACTCCAAGGCACATGATAATTTATTAAAACCAATGAAAGAGAAAATGTCAAACTTGACATCTTAGATGAAATGAATAAATTCCTTGAAAAACACAATCAAAGCTTACTCAAGAAGAAACAGATAACCTGAAGAGCTCTACCTTTTTAATTGAATGTCCAATTTAAAAATTTTCCCACAAAGAGAGCTCAGGCCCAAATGGCTTCACTGAGGAATTCTATAAAGAATTAATATTAATTCTATATAAACACTTTCAGTAATATTAAAGGAAAGAATAGTTGTAACACATTCCTAAGACCACCATTAGCCTGATACCAAAGCCAGACAACTACACTAAAGTAAGACCATAAAGTAATATCCCTCATGAACCTAGATATAAAAGTTCTCTCTGTCGCGGGGAAGGGGGACAGGGGGAGGGTGTGCTGGGGATTGAACCCAAGGCTTTGTGATGGAAGGCAAGCACTCTACCAACCAAGCTATATCCCCAGCCCACTAGATACAAAAGTTCTTAACAAATTTTAGAAAATCTAACTCATTGTATGAAAAGGTGGCCTCATGCTAGGCACTGTGGTGCACGCCTGTAGTCCCAGTACCTCAGGAGGCTGAGACAGGAGGATCACAAATTCAAAGCCAGCCTCAGCAAAGACAAGGTGCTAAGCAACTCAGTGAGACCCTGCCTCTAAATAAAATACAAAAATTGGGTTTGGGATGTGACTCAATGGGCAAGTGCCCCTGAGTTCAATACTGGGTACCAAAAAAAAAAAAGGTGGCCTCATGATTAAGAAAGATTCATCCCAGAATGGTTACACATTCATAAATCAATCAAAATAATTCACCCTATTAATGGACTGTGAAAGAAACACCATATAACCATCTCAATAGACACAGAAAAAATACTTCATAAAATTCAACATCCATCACAGATTTTAAAATAAAAAACTCACAGTAAACTAGGAATAGAAGGAAACTTCTTCAATCTCATAAAAGAGGAAACAGTCAATACAGGAAGCAAACATCGTACATTTATTGGTTTAAAAAAAAACAAACTACATTTTCCCCCTAAGATCATGAACAAGGCACATATGTCAGCTCTCAACACTTCTACTCAACACTGCATTAGAGGTCCTAGTCAGAAAGAGACAGAAGGGGGAAAGAAAGAAGGGAGGGAGGAGGGAAGGAGGGTAGATATCCAGACCAAAAATAAGGAAGCAAAACAGTCTTTACTTCTGGATAACATGATTGTCTACATTAAAAATCCAAACAAAAAATGCTACGAGTTCAGTAAGGTACCAGAATACAAAAATAATATATAAAAATAATTGTATTTTTATATACTAACAAGTGATAGAAACCATATGTACCCCTCCAGAAAAGTATATGTAATACTCTACAATTCCAGATCTATAATATACACTGCAAAAAATGCAAAGTAATCTATAGTATCTGAGCAATAATTGCCTGGGGATGGATAGGTAAAAAGGGGCAGGGGAAGGCATTGCAAACAGCTGAGGTAATGAATTTGTTCACCCTCTTGATTACAGTATTGATTTTATAGATAACCACAAGTCAGAACTTACACTGTACAGTTTAAATATGTACAAATCACTACATATTAATTATCAATTAAACTATCTTTTAAAAGATACTAAAAAGACAATAACCAAATACAATGTGCCCAAATTGCATCTAATTTGGAAGAAAATCATCAGCTTTAAAAGACCTAGTGGGAGAATTTGAATTTGGACTTGTTTTTAAGTTATTTTAGATAAAGATTACTTATTTTATTAGGGAATGATATTGTGGTGATGTAGGTGAATATCTCATTCCAGAGATACTTGAAGTACAAATCTTACTTTTGTAAAAATTGTACTGCAAATGCACATACATAGAGGACATACAGCCAATAGTGTAAATATTAACAATTACTGTGTCTGTGATGGTTATATGAGTTCTTTTTTCTTAATATTTATTTTTTTTTAGTTATAGTTGGACACAATACCTTTATTTTGTTTACTTTCATGTGGTGCTGAGGATAGAACCCAGGGCCTTGCACGTGCTAGGCAAGCACTCTACTACTGAGCCACAACCCAGCCCTATATGAGTTCTTTAAATGTTTTTCCCCCCCAATTTTTCTAAATGTTTTAAAAATCTTTATAATAAAAATTGGGGAGATATAAAACTAACTCAAAATTTGTAATGTTTTGAACAACCAACAATAAAAAATTTAAAAAAAAAAGAAAAGAGAAAAAAAAAACTAACTCAACCTTGGCTAATACAACATTATCTAAAAGATGCTTTAGAACTGCTAGTTTTAATAAGTAAGATTATCTATATACTAAACCATTTGAAAAGCATTCAAATTTATTTTGTATGTAGTTTATATACTCTGAGCTTATACTATTAATGTATAAAGTGAATAAAGCTCATGCTAAGTAAAAATAACTCCAAGTTAACCCCTTCTGAGTTACTACCAATTTTTAATTAGTAGAGTCCAGGCTGATCTATAATAGTTTGACATTTTAACAAGATGTTTTATAGGATTTTTATTTTTTGAACCAATATGACAAGTGGTAAAATAATTTAACCTTGAAAATCATTTCAAAAATAGTAGTCATGCATTGCTTAATGACTACGATACATTCTGAGAAATGCATTGTTAGGCAATTTCATCACTATTCAAACATCATAAAGTGTACTTATACAAACCTAGATGGTATAGGTCAAACACTCAACATGGCCTCTCAAGGCAATCGAGGGACATGATAAACAAAATGTGTGAGGCTGCTGCCAGAATAATATAGCATTCTGTTTCACAGTAAATCTTTTTAAAATATAAGTAGGGAGTACTCTAAAATAAAAAGTATAGTAAATACAGAAGCCTGTAACATAGTGGTTTATTGTCAAGTATTATGTAATGTACATACCATAGGTGTTATACTATTATATGACCCACAGTGCAGGTTTGTTTACACCAGTATCACAACAAGCAGGTGAGTAACACATTGTGCCAGGAACATATTATAAGATATACAATGTCATGAGGCCATGGGAGATATTCAGTTCTGTTATAATTTAATGGGACCATCCTCATGTATTTAGTTTGTCTAGCTGGCATAGGAGTTACAGTAACAGCATAAAACACAGTCGTTGCCCTAACAGAGGTTATCATCTAGTCGAGGAAACTATAATTCTTTATGCCACCTGGGTAGATGTAAAGAGACAAAAATTCTGAAGAACTGTTTCAAATGGGAAAGTGTATTTAAGTTCTTCTACTAGAAACCAAACT